AATTATCCTATTGGAGGGTGTGCCAGTGGGCCAGCACACCCTCCAATAATGTACTGACACTTGTACATTATGTCATCCATTATGGATGCCATAATGTACAAGTAGCACAACCCTTTAATTAATCATCCCTTCTTAAAGAAAACATGAACAATTTTACTCAAGAATTGGTGGCTGCCACCCTTGGAACCTCAACTGGGAAATCATTAATTTCATCCGTCCAAGGATTCTTCTCCTTAGTCGGATCAACGGTCCTCAATGCACGCCACACTGCACTGTTACATTTAAACCCAGATCCAAATGCAATTTGCCATGTTCTATCCCCCCGTCTAATCCTCCCTTTGGCCTCTGAATAGGCCAATTCATACCACAATGAACTGCTAGAAGTATTTCCAAACCTATAAAGTGTCATTCTTGATGGCTCCATATGCCACTCGGACAGTTCGAGATTCTTCTCCAGTTCATCCAACACCGCTCTTCCTCCTGCATGAATGCAAAAATGCTCGAATGCGAGCTTAAAATCTGGTATATAATGCCTAATCTTCATTTTCAACACTTTCCGTGCCACTACGGTTACGAAAAACAATAGTTGTTCCGACATGGGAAGGACTAATGGTCCTAAGGTCGTGATGTTTGTTTTTAAGGCCTCTCCTGCAACTGCCATTAGATCTTTGGACAATGCCACCCCTACTTGTTTTGTATCGTCTTCTTCTTGGAATACGCAGCTATAGCTTTTTTCTTCTGCACCTTTGTGCGTGCGAACGGTGTGGACTAACTTATATTTTGCACTACGACGATCAGATGACTTGTTGGAGAGGAGGATGGCCGCGCCACCCATCCGGAATAGGCAATTTGAGATGAGCATTGATCGATTGTTGCCAAAATACCAGTTGAGTGTTATGTTCTCCGTGCTCACTACGAGTGCATAGGAGTTGGGATGCACCTATTACATACATAGAGGAAGAGAAAAAAAACTAAGAAATCTTGTTGACTATATTGTCGGTCCAATACAATATATCGAGCATATTGATGAAAATTAGCTATTATTCGTCCAAAGACGAAACATTTAGGTTGTTACACTCCAATGTATCCTAAAGATAAATTGAGGTTCAATACTATCTAATAATGCATATCAAACATGTCGTAAAAAAAAAAAAAACCTGTAGATGTTGTTTGGCAAGATCAATAGAAATCAATCCAGCACTGCACCCCATCCCACCAAGATTATAGCTCAAAATATTGCCCCTGAGCTTGTAATGATTCACTATCATAGTAGAAAGTGATGGAGTTGGATTAAACAAACTGCAGTTCACCACAAGAATCCCAATATCCTTAGCCTTTACCCCTGTCTTAGCCAAAAGATCATCAATTGCACCAAACATAACCATTTCAGCCTCCCTTCGAGCTTCAGCCATACAAGGATTTGCAGGGACACGTAAAATGGCTTCTGGGAAATATGACTTCTGTCCTATTCCCGATCGTTCCAAGACTTTCTTCTGAAAAGCCAAATTTTCTTCGGTAAATAATCCGGCCCGTCTTGATGTCTCCATGAAAATTTCTTTACTGCACATGACCTCTGGTTTAGGCTTGTAACACGCGAAATCCACCAAGTAGACGCTCCTCGGCCTTGTCATGAAATAAACTGTGCCCAAGAAAACCATTAGAACAGAACATACAACTACAGTGACAAGATTAAATTTCAGCTGGTTCCATAGGAGGACTAAATCTTTGACAGATAAAGTCGAAAAATGTGCAGAAACTATCCCAAGTAGAGGGACTAACAAAAGATACATAGCATGTGAGATTAAGTAATGGTAACCAAGTTTCACATATTTGAGCTTAACAGAAAGGAGAAAGTTGGGGAGATTATTCCCTTTCCCTTTCCTTTCAAGATTAGCCTGGATCGATATCTTTCCTGTTTCGGAATTCGCCTTCTGCTCATTCCCCATTGCTTGTGACAGATTTTGAACACAACTCAACACTAGAAAAACTCTCTACAAACTAAACAAGAATTTCGATGAAAAATGAATCCGACCGGGCTTTAACTGGCTAAAGAATGCAAAATGTGAAAGTAAATATACTTTAAACTATAAGGAGGGTTCAATAATTTGGCTTGAAGAAGAAAAATTTTGCGTGTATAATTTGTAGAATCTTGCATGGAATCAGAAAGAGACAGGGTTTCTTGCAGAATTGGATGCGAATTGATATAAGAATTTAAAGAAATGAACAGTCGTGGGTGGGTAGGATAGGGTATAGTAGAGGGAGGGGTGCAACCACTTCTACCCCAACAAACTTTTAATTGTATAATATCGCCGTCGCATTGAATTTGCAGACGTGTATTAGCATGAGTATGCGTAAACGATTTGTATACTGTTTGGCCGACTAATACTATTTGTCACACATTAAAGTTTTCATTCTCATTTTTCTACTCATTTTCAACCACACATTCTTTAATAAAATAATATTTTTCATCATATCAATAACTTTTCTTTTTTTTTCAACCACGCATTTTCTATCAATCTACTATTCCAAAATACATTCTTCCAAAATAATATTCATCAAACACACCAGATAGTATCTATTTTGCTATTAAGATCACCTCCTTCAATTGATGTAGCAATTTGGTAAAAAATTTGTTTGCTAAAACGCTGATTAAATTTTATTATTAATTGCACATATTATTGAATTCATAACTTTTATCCATTATATCTACACATTTCATGAAAAATAAATTAAGTATTTAGTGCTAACAATTTCATCTAAAAGTTTAAACTATTAAAAGGGATTGGATATACCGACTTAATCTTGTTTTTACATACACACCAGATTCATTTTCTGATTAAAGGCCCAACAAATTTATAAATTTTGCATAAATGAATGAAGAGTTTCGAATTCATATATGCGTAAATCTTATATCGTATTAATCAATGTTGTTGTAACACAGGGAATGTTGTTTGGACATTATTGGTTAGGGTGTATTTTCCTTAATTAAACATGTGGAACTTACCGAAACCAAACGAGTTGAGATCTGTTGTTCCGGCCATTTTTGCAGTCCAACTTGTTATTCATTCAATTAATTATTGACGCATCATTTTTAAATTAACATGTCATCTCAAATTTACCCTCATTAACTTCACCACTAACCCACCAATCGATGACATATTAATTTAATATGATGGGTCAATAATTAATTAGGTTGACAACAAAAGTTGGACAACAGATCTCAACTCAAGCAAAGTCGAACCAGTAATAACAAAGATTAAACAAAAAAATAATTATTTTTTGGGGTATTAATTGCGAACTGTCTGATTTTGAGACTGGACTGACCATTTCTTAGGTAAATTTAATGTGTTATGAATTCTTGGATTATTACTTGGATCAATCGTAATTTTTTTTATTTAAATTGACCACTTTTATTCTATTTTGATAACACTGTCGAATACTATGCACTAGCATAATTTTCATAGATATTTAACAACACAATTAAACTCAAACACTTTTTTCTCGCTCTAGTATTGGGCTAAATAGACGTAAATTAATATAAGAATAGAATTCTAGGAATTTGTAAGGAAAAATATAGAAATCTGTGGGGATGCTAGTTGGGAGGTGATTTGGTAAAAGTTGATACATATTTAAGACATTTGAATATATTTTAGTATTTTGGGAAGAAAAGAATCGGCCACGTTTAACAATATTTCAAAGTTACATTAAATTCAACAGTCTATCCTCATATGTAGATATATATAGTCTTAAAGACAAGCACTAATTCAATCTAATTACCTCATTCGTGTGATATTGAGAGCATGTTTAGAAGTGTTTGTATTTTTATTTTTATTTTTTATTTTTATAAATAGATAGAAATGAAAAGTGAATAGTACTTGTAAAATCCTTGAAAATGTATGTATAAAAAATTACCCAATTATAAATAACATATAAATACGTCCCAAAGATAGGCTATATCTGATGAAAATATGTGAAGAGCTCTACTCATTCAATTGGTAATGATTTAACTTTTTCGGCGAGATTATTCAATAACTTCATCATGAAAATAGAATAGAGATAAAATTTTAGTGACTAGTGACGTAACTCTTGTTATCCTCTCGTTTTCTTTTCTATGCTAGAATTTGGTTACTATACATGAAATAGGTAAGAAATATAATCCATGTGAAATCAAAGTCTTCCTTAGGGTTGGTAATTTTCCCCGCCCCGCCCCGTCCCGTCCCGAATGGGGTAAAAAAACCCGTCCCGAAAGGGTTGGCGGGGCGGGGCGGGGCGGGGCAAACTCGCTTCATGAAGAATTAAAAAAAAATAAAAATCATGACATTAAAACCTGTTTCAAAATTTGTCATTGATCAAACTGGAAATTTGTCATAATTTATACGAATTTTGTGTAGTTACATGTCCATTGAAACATCATGACACGAGGAAATTAAAAGTTCTTTACAAACCAAAATTGGTGTTACCCATTTCTAGGATATGGACAGCTAAAATAATCTAAATAAAACATTACCTAATAACCGTACAATTCAACCGAATTTAGCAATTTATAACCTTTTTATAAATACCCAGAAGGGACAGAATATTTATCATTAACTAGATAAACCCAAAAAGGAAAGCAGCGGGAATTAAAGGGTTTGTCTGTAACAATCAAGATTTAGTGAAACTCTTTCCACATTCGAGATCTACTTTAAATCATTCTAATTGAGTAAAATGTGTAGGTTTTCAAGGATATTTACAATACTTGTTAGGGGGCTGAAAGAGAAGGAAAAGCACCCGCTCAAAATTTTTAAAATTTTGAATTTGTATTTTAACTGAAAAAAAGGGGCAGGCCTTCGCCCCGCATTCTCCCCGTAGGCGCCCCGAGCCCCGCCCCACGTCGCCCCGCCCCGTCTAAGGTGGGGCAGGGAGGGGGAGTGGCGTGGCACCCCAAACCCGCCCCGTTGCCATCACTAATCTTCCTTCTCATTTCGAATTTACTATTCAATTAGTCATCTAATTAGTTCATCCGATGTAAGGAAACTTAATCTTAGATATGTCATGTTAGATCTGCAATATCTGCAGTATGGTTAACAAAATTGTATGAGAGAGAGAGAGAGAGTCTGATTATTGCAAGTTAGAATTTGCAAATATTATTTTATATAAAATAAGAAAATTTATTTGTTCTTCTGAATTTCAAGAATTTTTCATAGGTTGTTGTTAAATTATTCATATAAAAATTAATAGTGGCGACTACAAAACACGAACAATTTATAAGGTCTTATTTAACTAACGTCAAATCAGTTATGATGTTGTTTATGTAGTCTTTTTATTTTTTATATAATAATTAAGTTTTTTTATTATTTGAATCCATAGATACAAAATAACTGTAATGCATTATCACTTTAGTTGAGAAAGGAAGGGCTGCCAGACTTCCAGTGATGGTGAATGGCTCCCAACGGAATATTTTCAATGCTCTAGTGGCGTCCGCCAGGAGATCCTCTCTCCCTCCCCGGTGATCTACACATTGAAGGATTTCTTCCGCTCATATCTATTGTGGCTTTTGATTTTCGGGGGGCCGGCCCCCAAAATTTGGAGGTCCTAGATGACTCATTATTATGAGGACCTCCAACATAATTTTATTTACAAGTGTAACAATATTTAAATATTTAAATAATTAATACTTTTATATTGAAAATAAGACTTTTTAAATTTCAAAAGATAGAGTAGCAAAATAAATCTTTTCTCACAACTCGAGAGATTAGGCCAGCATAAGATTTAACATTATCACATTTTGAGATGTAATTCGTAATCAAACTACTAAAATATGAATCATCAATCGTCGTGTAGGGTATAGAGAGATTTTTTTGGGGAAGATAGTTGGGGAAAAAGATGGTATGTTTCTTTCTTCTCTCGTAAGCACACTTTTTTTCAAGGGATTTGAAGGGATTTGGATTGTAGTAGTTTTTGGGCTTTTTTTAGAGGACCCTTGAAATCGAAAGCCTAAAGCAATGGCATAGCTTGCCACGGGCCTGGCCTTGATTTTCGTAAACTAACCCTTTTGACTTCTTCTAGAGGAGTTGGAGTCGCATTGCACTTTCTATATATTGATGACATTGTAATTTGTAAGGGCACAATAAAGAATATGATATGTATTTTTGAAGCTCTAAGCCTTATACGGTCAATTATTAGGTCAGGAAGGGAA